GGCGCATCGCCAGATCCAATTATCAATCAGGCAATTTAATTATTATAGCATATATGTAGCTACTTCTACTCTACATCTAGAGTTATTCTCTGCTAAATTCCCTAAACTCTGTCTATCTAGTATGTTTTTTGTATTGCAAATATCTAATTAATGGCTGAATAATCTCAATATCCAGGGTGGTTTATAATTATATATCACCTAGTCTGGTATCCTAGCAATGTGCCCAGCCAGTCCGGATTTCTGGGTCCGTAAAATATTGCAAGCGGATTCAGGCCCAACTAGTCCTTTAAGTATAGGTCGACATTTACTCCCTTCCCACGGACGCTACCACAGGCATCTTACCTAATTACAATCAGAGCTAGCAAATGGGCCGCTATATCTTCAAAAATAGGTATAACGATAAAAAACTTGTTTTTAATTTAAACGCACATTTCCCCAAAATAATTATTTTTTATATCATCCTCTAATATAGTGCAATAGCTGTTAACGAGTGAAAATTTATAACTAAAAGCTTCCTTAAGCCATCATTTCATTGTCCAAGAGTCTTAGCATTGTAGAATTTTGTTATGCACAATATTCTGCTTTAACGAGCATTCACTCACTTGTTAGAACATTATGAAGAATCGGCTCAACGTTATTTGGCAGAGTGAGATTGTATACGACAATTGTGGCGTTTGGGAGGGGTATTAGACCCTCTTTTGCATCCGCATACACCATGCCTTTAACTCCGCGATGAACCTAAAGCGATTTGTTAAAATTATGTAATATAGCTTGTGAAAGCTAGTAAGTTAAGCTCTTAAATTCTAACGAACCTGAATGATAAAGTTATACAAAGCTGCCATATTTTGCCACCAAAAGGATGGGAGTTCTTTGGCATCTGGATATTTTGTGCAGCCCAGCTCAATGGTTATCTCGAAGCAGTTTGAAGCCAGGTAATTATAATCTTGCATTCCTAAAATATGAATTTAATTTAAGATTATTATTTGATTGTTAAAGGTTACGACTTAATTAATAGTAGACATACACCTTCAACTCAAAAATCAATTCATATAGAAAAAGGGTAGGAATTACATTATCTCATAAATGCTTGA